ATATAGATTTGGCATCACTTGTTTGCTTCCTGCCGATATAATTGATTGAAAGGATATTAGGGCCATACCAGTTCTCCAAGCACTGTGGTCTCCATTCATCATTGTCCTTCACCTGGCATATTAATTTACACTGCTACAAAGTGGGTTTAAACCCTTCCATTCTGAGTTGGTGGGATTTTTACTTCACTTTGTACTGGTATAAATGACATGCAAGGTGCAAGGCAATGGAGAATTGGATCCCATGTAAACTTAATGAAGCTTCTTAGACATGCTGAAGTGGAAACTAGGCAAGTAAAATTGAATTGATACTAGGGCTGCTTGCATCTATGCTAGGAAACCTGGGAGCTGTAATTCTCCACTGGTGCACATTCACCAGTGGAAGCTGTAGTGCAGACAGGATGCAAATATTTTTGTCTTCCATTGTCAGAGACTTCTAGATCCTTATTTGTTTACTGCAGGCAAAGCACTAGCATGTATGACAAACAGCACTCAGTCAGAATTGGAAATAAGTATGAATGTGTGCAGTATGGAGCAATATCTGTAATATTGATAGGCATGTTGTCAAAATGTGTCGTCTGCTTTTTTCTCTAGAATGCCAATGCAGGTAGCATCTTAAATGCTCCTTGGGGCGTCAGAACTAGCTATATGAATATAAGCACTATGGATGCACCACTTTTTGGATACTATGTCCTACATACATACATACAACAAGTGTGGTGCTTTTGGTCCATCGGAAAATACCACACAGCAGTTGCTTGAGTTAGAGTGGGCTGGCAGGGGACTCTTAAAAAAATCCAGTTCATTTGAAAAAGCAGGAGAAGGGGCACTTGAAATGGAAGGAGATGCTGCACTTAACTTCTAAGAGCAACTTTGGCCTTTGTACATAGGTATCTATCCATCTATCTATCCATCTATCTATACATCTGTGAATCTGTTTGTTCAAGAACTCCTCCTAAATGGGAGGAGCTAGGACCCCCAAATTTAGTATGCAGCTTCCTTTTATCCTAACTTAAAGCAAGATCAGTGTTGTGCCAAGAAAATGTGAAGTGCTAGGAAATACCAAAATAAAACACTTCTGTCTCCTAACCAATTCTGCCCTTTCCTAAGTACAGGCTATAAGTCCAAGATATGTTCAAAAAATCTTGGACTTAAAGCGAGAAATTTTTTCCCACAGATGACTTCCGTTTGTGCAAATTGGGGTTTTTTTTGCACGACTTAAGAGCAGGGAATGGGGGGACTTATAACGCATCTGTTCCTACAAACGTCAATGAGTTTAGTGCAGAACGGATGTATACCGGGGTAACTTATAGCAGGGACGCCCTGTAAAACTAATTTCTGTCCCACCGAAAGCTGTACCCCACCAATAATGCCCCCAATAAATCAATGAATTCTGCACCCCAAATCAACTAATACTGGTCCCTACCTTTCTGTCGGGCTCTTCTGATGCTGCCCTCCAAAGAGGGCTAGCAGCTCCTTACCCCCCATTTCTGCATGAAGGGAACAGGCCAAGGAATTCTCTAATTCCTTCCTTCATCAGCTGTTAAAGACTCAATGGCTCTTTGGCTGGTCCGCTCTCTTCTTTGGCTGGTTTGCTCTTTCCTTTCCAGGGAGTGAGCCAACAGCTATTTTGCACATTCTGTGAATTTGCTCAGGTAAAATTTCTATGAACCCGGAGCCGGTGTGTTTTTTCTAGCTCTGATAATAATACTTAGTACTTATGTAGCATATTCCTCTGAGAATCCCAAAGTGGTTTATAAACAAAGTCAGGTATCATTATCCCTTTCACAGATGAAAAAACTGAGGCTCAGCAAGTTTAAGAGACTTGCCCATGGATCCCGAAGGAAGACATGGTACCTGACCCTGGAACCCTTTTTCACAAAAATAGATCCACTGACATCAATAAAACAACCAGTAAAAGTAAGGATTATAGTAATGGTCCAGGATCAGACACATGCCCCTAAAGTGACAGTCCAAAGACCCAGTCTTGCCACACATATTCATGATGAATTTTATCTGTACCCCAGTGAGCAGTCAAATGTAGTTCAGTATGACTTAGGGATACCAGAGATATCCCGCAAAAACCCCGCTGTGTCCAAGGAACACATTTGCTCTGCTTTTTTTCGCCAAAAGAGGAGGCATTTCCGCCATTTGGCCCCGTCTAGGCAGGGCCAAATGGCGAAAAAGCTTCTTCCGAAAAAAAAAGTGGAAAAAGCGGAGCACATTTTGCGTAGCATTTCCCACAAAAACGTTGCAGTCTAGACCCAGCCTAACTAAGCATGGTAAGTGATGAGAAAAACAAAGGAAAGAGGAGTAAGGCTTACAACAATAAGATCTTGCTTTGGTTAGCAGGGCACACATCTGTGATCCACACTCAGATATTGTTGCTAAACTAAAGTTGAAGGCTACCTCTAGACTGGCATGATTTTCCGGAAATGCTTTTAACGGAAAAGTTTTCCGTTAAAAGCATTTTCAGAACAGAGTGTCTAGATTGGTACGGACGCTTTTCCGCAAAAGCACTTTTTGCAGAAAAGCGTCCATGCCAATGTAGACGCGGTTTTCCGCAAAAAAGCCCCGATCGCCATTTTTGTGATCGGGGCGGAAAACAGATCTGAGCTGTCTACACTGGCCCTTTTGCGCAAAAGTTTTGAGCAAAAGGACTTTTGCCCGAACAGGAGCAGTATAGTATTTCCGCAAGAACACTGACAATCTTACATGAGATCGTCAGTGCTTTTGCGGAAATTCAAGCGGCCAGTGTAGACAGCTGGCAAGTTTTTCTGGAAAAGCGGCTGATTTTTCCAGAAAAACTGGCCAGTCTAGACACAGCCAAAGTGTAAGTATTCCCAGCCTGTTCCAAGTACATTGCATTGTAGTCCACATGGGTGTTTGGCTATATGAGTAACTCAAATAACAGTACATTTATCTAAGTTCAACTTTTTCCTCAAACTTAGCTGGAGTTCCCAGCAGAGTTCCCAGCAGAGCCTTCTCTATCCCAGCTTGAGGTATTTCTGCCCCAAATTCCTTTCCCCTCTACTGTCCTTTCTGGAGCTAAGATCCACCTGTCAGTAGTAATACCTGCATCTTCCTACAACGGCCTAGATCCTGAGTTTAGGGGGGGCTCATCAGAGCAATCTTACATTCCTATACAGGAGCCTCGCTTGGCAACTTGCTACAAATCACTAACAGGGGCGGCCCGTGCCTATAGGCAAACTAGGCAGCCGCCTACGGCACCAAGTTACATGGGGCGCCAAAACCCTGCCCCTTCCATTTCCCCTTTCCTTTCCGGTGCCTTACCTGGAGCACAACTTCCCTGCATCCAGGAAGGGGGTAAATCCTGGGAGAGGCAGCGCGCGGGAGGGGTTTCCCCTGTGCTGGGGGGGGGGTCAGCCCCAGGGGAGGAGGAACGCGGGGGGGGGTTGCCTCACAGGAGGGGAAGTTGGCCCCGGGGGAGAAGGAATGCGGGGGGGTTTCCCCAGCCCCGTGGGAGGGGGAGGGTCGGCCCTGGGGGAGAAGGAATGTGGGGGGGTTGCCCCGCAGGAGGCGGAGGTTGGCCCTGGGGGAGGAGGAATGCTGGGTGGGGGGGCTTCCCCTGCGCTGCGGTGGGGGGGGGTCACCCCAAGAGAGGCGCATGCCGGCTTCTCTCTGGGGGGGGGGGATCTTGGGAGGAGGCAGATGCAGGGGACTCTCTCCCCCGACTGGCACCCTGTTACCTCTCCCCGGCCCCCAGCCCCCGAACTCCATCCCCAGGCCACCAGCCCCTCGGCAACCAGCCAGAGAACTCCATCCCCAGCCCCCCCTCTCCCCAGCACAGAACCAAAATCCTCAGTCGATATCTGCCCTTGGAGTTGGGGGAGGGGAGCACCGATTGCATGGTTCACCTAGGGCGCCAGTTGCTGGCAGCTAGTCTAGGGCCGCCCCTGATCACTAACCATCATTATTTCAAAAGTAGAGATGTTTTTATTTCATTTTTAAGATACATAGGTGTCACAAAGACACCTGTTTTAAAGAAGAGCTTGAAGGAGAAGAGAATGGCATTATATACGGTGGACTGCATTAGGAAGGGGTTTCCGGGAGTACCAGAAGGCTACCTGGAGGAAAGCAGAGATAGTGGCAAAAGGAAAGAAAAGGAGCAGGGAAGCATGCAGTGGGGTGTTGTGAACCAGTCAAAGGGGAAGCAGAACCAAAGGAGCACTAAAAACTAATTGTTTACAAGATCCTTGTAAAGAACCTCAAGATTAAACCATTTTTCATCTGTAATGAACTATATTTGTCCTATATGGCAATAAAAATATCAAAAAATATTAGGAAGTAATGCACATTATAAATATTGACTCATATTAATAATATTTCCATATAGCCATGACAACTAAAATATAAACTGATTTTTTATTTGAAACATTTAACATCAATCAAGACTCACAACACATAAATAGGACAGACTCCCAGACTAAGTAATGAAAAATAAAGAGCTGACGAATTCTTGTGAAATTTTAATTTGCAAAATAAAGAACATTACATTAATAAGGCTTAATTACATCATTAAATATTTAACATTTTCTGGAATCCATTTTATTTTTATTTCATATTATAAAACGGTATCTGCATAAAATAGCAGGTTGGGCCCAATACTTTACTTCTTGCACATCCAAAACTCTTATGGGGTGCAGTGGTTTAACTAACAATTTTTTGAAACTTATCCAATTATGAGTTTTAATTCTTAAACTTGAATCTCTGTTAACTTAGACCCCCCCCCCATTTTTATTAGGTATGTATTTACAAAATTATGTACATACACATTTCTAGGGCAGAAAAAAATTAAATATTCTTATATCCTATGCAGACATTGGTCACTGGATGGATGCTTTAAACTGTTTGTGAGCTGTGTCATGTACCAGGTAGATCACCTTTGAAAGAGTGGAACACTAGCTCTTAACAGAAGATGACCGTTGGTAAGAGATTCTGCAGCTTCCAAAATGTTGTGATTATTTTCCTTCTCCTTTCAGCTTCCAGACTAACTCCATCTCTTGGAGGACAGTTTATTCTAAGAAAAACTGGAAGGGCACGCAAGATACCTGGAAAACTCACCCAAAACATCAGACTGTTCTAGCAGCAGCAACAAAGTTAACCTGCTGCTCTTTGGGTAATTTAGTCTTTTTCTTTTCATGCCAGAGTGAGGTGTCAGAAGGAGCTCAGTCTGCTCCCTCTGTAGCAAAATACAGGACTATGTAGCACTTTAAAGACTAACAAGATGGTTTATTAGATGATGAGCTTTCATGGGCCAGACCCACTTCCTCAGATCAAATAGTGGAAGAAAATAGTTACAACCATATATAGCAAAGGATACAATTTTAAAAAAATGAATACGTGCTCCCTCTGTGTTTGATTTTGCAAAGTGCTGAGCACTCATGCTTTGCTGAAGCAAAACACTTACTTATGTTTATTAACATCCGTAGCCCTATTGATATCAGGTGAACCCTTTCTGAGCCCAATTCTGGGAGTTGCTGTTTGCCCTCAGCTCCCATTGAATACAATGCGCTTAAAGGTCAGTGTGATCTCAGGAGTCAGGCACCTAAATAATTTTAAAAATTTGAGCTGAAATGCTTTGTTGAGAGTATTTAGTACGCTACAGGACTGGGCTATTCCAGTGGAAGACAAGTTCCTGATAAAAGAATGATAGCTGGTCTAGTCAGCGGCCTCTAGCTTTAGTAAAAGATGGCTTACTTCTTAGACGTGGCCATTTCTCAGCAGGGTTTTGCCTGGCATTGTTAGTACTGCTGTTGTGCTGTTATAGATAGATGGGCCTTGCTTAGTACAGCCATCATTGAGTACCTTCCTTTTTTTTTTTAAAGGTTAATTTGGAAGACTTCTCTGATTATACATCTGTCACTGTAATTTACACCTCTGAGGATAAGGCTGATTAAGAAATCAGTGAGAATAATTAATTTTATTCATGGAAGGCAAAGCTTTAAGTGGGCTATGTTAAGTAAGGCCTGAGACTTAGTCAAGCTTTACTTTAATTGTTCAGCTGGGTCCTGGCAAATCTTAACTGAAGCTGCATAAATTGGCTCTATAAATATGTGATCTGGCTGACTGGCCCAAACTTCACCTGTCCTGTTGATCAAAACTAAACCTAACTCGTCAGTGTCATGTTTTTGTTAAGTGAAAGGATTGTAACTCACCCATTCTTTAGACCTCCCTGCAATAAACCCTAGCTTTGCTGAACAAATGAAAATCCAGCTTCCAGCCAATCTCTTTAGAAGACCTGCATAACTGAGTACTTCTTTCAGGTGTGTACTACAATGTGGAGCCCCTCAGACTGGTAGCAGCTCCTAGGCACCCCCATGAGAGTAGAGTGGGTATGGAGGGACAAAGTAGATCCAGGGAAGGTTGGAAAGGAGGGAAGGCAAAGGACTGAGCTGTAAGAAAGGGAAGGAGCAGGCTATTATTATTTAGTTCATGGCAGTGCCCAGAATGAGCTAGGTGGCTTACAAAGAGGAAGAGACTATTCCCGCCATAAAGAGCATAGAGTCTCAAAATATATAGTCTTTATCTCTTGGTGAAGGGAGTCCTGCACTGCACAAGGTGAGACTTGATGGGTCTGACCCTCATAGTCTTATAGATGGATGGTTGAATGGAAAGAGGAAGAGGCCCTGACCTAAGGAATGACAACTGGTTTCATTCAGACACCTGCTGCTTTTCTCAGGCTGCTAAAACCAGTGACAATAGATGACCTAATATAGCCTCTGCAGCAGCAATAGGTGTTTGTCACCAGCATTCCCTGTACACTGTGCGCTTGGCAGCCACTCAGAAGCAATTCAGAGATGCCCAGCTGATTAGCAGAGCAACCACTGCCAGCAGCATGTGTTGCTATTGGTGGTGCATACCCACACTTTTCTTGGTGCACATACCAAAATTTTTTCTGCACATAGATGGAAAAAAAATGGAAGGAACATTGTCACTGTCCTGTCTCATAAGAGATCTGGCTTCTAGCTGGTTAGGTAGGTAATACAAGTGAAAATTGTGGCCAAATATGAGCTTTTTCTGATGCAACTTCAATTCCATCTAAGCTTGAAAATGGCACATGATTGCTGATTAACACAGCAGAGATTAGGATAGCAATGGATCCCTTAAGAGAAACAAAGTCTTTGGCTGTCCTAGGAAAAGCACTTGCATTTAGGTCAGGTTTAGCTAATGAGTGCTAGCAAAACCCAACTTGCACTGAACCTTTTCCCTGTTGTAAACTTGTAAGCTGTTTTAGCTAGTTAAGTTGTACCCTAGGCTCTTGTCTAAGCTAGAGCATTAAAAAAGACAGGTGTTTCAGTCACAATTTGACCAGCTAAATTGAGATACAAGATTTTACCCTGGATGGGTTAGTTAAGTCCAGCTGAAACGCAATGGCTTTCTGTAGTCAAGGCAACATCCAACACTAAATAGAATCACTTTTTTTCTTCTAGTTGCTCTTTTTTTGGCTCTTCTCATGCTTTTCTTTCCTTTTTTTGGAAGAAGGAGGCAAGGGTTCTTCAGCTTACAATGTTAGTGTTGGATGAGAATGAGACAATAGTTAGTCTAATTTATCATTTAATTTGTATTCTATATTAGCTTTGGCAATGCATGTATTATAGTCATGCCAATAAAGTAACTTTGAACTGACTTGTCCAAAAATTACCTCAGGCGGGACTGAGATAATTTTTCAGGTAATGATTTGATCCACTCTTTCTGAGGTACACAAGAGAGTCAGGTTAGTCTGTTCCTCGTGGAAATCATAAGTCTCTGCTACCTGTGTGTTCATAAATTCCTTTAGCTGATGCTCTTATATCAAACTGCTGTCAGCAATCCCCCCATTAACAATAGTCTGTGGTGCTCTCCCCCTCTCACCCCACTCATTCTCTGTTCCTTTGCCTAGTGTCTGCAATCCAGTGTCTCCCACTCGCTAAACCCTGCATCACAGACCAGTTATTATTTCTTCCTATTTTGTTTGTGCTCCTGCTGTGCTGCTTATATAAGTGCTGTCACAGTTTCAGGGTCACTGCACCTCTTGCCACTTGCATGGTCAGCTGCAGGAATCTCTCAGGCCTCCAGTCATCACCTCTCTCTGAGCAGGGACCTATGCCCCTGTCCTCTCCCCTGTCTAGGAGTTTCAGACTGCAGTCCCCTGGGACTCACTAATTACCTCCAGTAGGTCAAACAATTCCTCTGCTCTTTAGTTTCACTTGAAGGACAGGGACATACCAGTGACCACCAGCTGCTCCAGAGCAAAGTACATTCCAGGATAAAAGTCTATTCCAAGATAAAAGCATACAGAGAAAACAAATATAATGAAACCAGGATGTAAATATTTTACCAGTAACTCCCTTTCAATCCCATGGAGACCACACAGGTTCTCCAGTCTTTCCTGCCTTTTAGCAGGGTTTGGGCCATCCCCTTGACCAAAGTTCAGGACTTTTAGCTGAATCAAAAAAAAAAGTTCTTTCTTTGTCTCCTTGGCCTCTGGCACCTGCTTGGACTAGTATATGCAAACCCTCCCTAACGGTGGTACTGTTCTGGAGCTGTTTAAAATCCCAGTGACTGCAATAATCAACCCTTTCCCCAAATGTTTTTAGTTCCTGGATGAGCAAAGGTAACCCACCTCAAAGGAGTAGAATGCAACCCTTTGCCTAAAACAGTACACAGAAGTTGACCCCAGAGATACATGGAATTGCAGTACCTGTCACAAGCATACTTTGCACTTGCTTAATGGCCAACTCCCAGCCTGATCAGAAGTGTGGAAACAATTGGTTACATGTTTTACTTGGCCTACAGCAAAACTAAGGCTGTCATTTACCCAATGCTTTCCTGGTAGTGTCTGTGGCTAGCTACATGGTTTGGGACTTTCAGTCCCAGCACGTCTAGTGACAGGATTCAATGGCACTGACAGTTGTTATACTCTGAGCGTGGCATTTACTGATCGTTATCCTAGGGTAGTGAGCATGCTGAAAGTTTTTCAGTCTTAAGAAATGCGTTCCTTTGGGTTTGCCCTTGTAACATTACCGAGGGTGCTGTGACTGGAATAACGATGCAAGTCTCCTGTGTACAGCAGGCTCCACACACCAATATTTTGATGCCCATGCCCCCTTTCCCTCTGACATGAGCATGCACATGCCCTTCCTTTTCTATGGTGCTTGGTCCTACTGTGAGGGCAGGGAACTAGACTTGATGACCTTTTGAGGTCCCTTCCAGTTTTAGTATTCTATGATCCTTTAAGCACTGAGGCTAAGAATTTTGAACTCACATGCCTAAATGTAAGTACCTAGATTTTATATCAAAAGACTTAAATATGTATACTGATTCTTTTCAGAAATTCTCATTTCCCTCAGCTCCCACCAAAGGCCTAGTTCAGGTAAGCAGTTAGGCACGTGCTTAAAATTTTTCCCAAATCAGAGCCATAATAGATGGATGCTGAGTATCTTCATTACCCTTCTGGAGGTGCTGAGCTCTGAACAGTATCAGGCCCTAATTAAGGAGCACAGCAAACAATTTATGCACATTTGATATTATGGAAATTGACGAGACTTTCTGACTCAAAATATATGTCTTGATTTTCAGAAGTGCTGAGTATCTGCAACTCCCTTTGAATTCATTATGAGCTGTGGGTGCTCAACACACTTGAAAATTAGGCCATGTTTTTCTTCTATAAAAGGCTTCTCTATATCCAAAACATAAAATGTGCATATAATTATTTGCACTTTGCTTCTTAATAACAATAAAAGAGTGAGTCATTATAACTTTCTGAGAATATTATGATCGTTGGCACAATATTTCTCACGCTGCATGATGAATCCACAGCTGCATGGTGTATTAAATGCTTCTGTTTATGACAGTATGGTAATCATAATTCCTGACCTCAAATTTTACTGCATTATTTATCATTCACAAAATGTAACAGTTTTTCATTCAGCAGTCCAGAGCAGAAACCACAATATGTTACTGAGCACTGATGCAAACAATAAGCCTGGATTATGTCATTTCATTGCATTCCTTATATTTCATCTAAAAATATTATCTTTCTTACTTTTCATCTTTCAGTTCTAGCCTTCTTTTACTGGTGCTTTTACACCAGTTTCCATAGTAACAATCTTTATTGTATCCAAGACCACGTGAAAAAGAATTCATGCAGATGTTGTCATTGATCCAACACCTTGCGGCAGCTCTTATGGTGCATGGTCCTCTTATTTCTTTGCTCTACTTTTTCCATTTCCCCTCATTAAGAATGGTTTCAGAGACTCTCTCTCCTCTCTGGTGCTTTAGGTTTGAAAGGAGAAAATAATATTAGTTGGATTTTATTATGAATCTTAATCCTTCTTCAGGTTGTTTCAGGGACATCACTTAGCTACCAGAGAGCCAACTACAGCTCTTGGTTACCTGCTTGTTAGTTACAGGTGCCCTTAAATAAAAATATTAAAGGAATCAAAAGTGATTAGCACTGGATGACATCAGTTAAAAACTGTTTCTGAATGAGTTTGGAAAGCCCCTTGCATTAAAGCCGTTAGATTCACACAGGCTGCTATTTTACTGCTAGCATAATTTTATCATATTGTTCCCCATCACTCCCCCCAGGAAGAGCTAATGAAGTTTCCACATTTTTGGCAACGTGCTTTAGTCATAACCTCTCCACCTACTCTCATCTTTACAGCCTGGCTTGAAGGAAAAGGGAGGGACAGCAACAGATCTGTGTTGAAAAGCTAGTAGTGGTTTACAGCTACATATCATTTCAGCAGCACGACAAACAAATGAACAAGGAAATCAGCAGCAGACGGGTGTAATCAGCTATTGTCTGTAATTGTTTTGAGTTCTTTGCCTATCATTCCTTGTTGGGATTGAGCATTATTCTTCTGATTATATGAACCTGACAGCCTGATCATAATAAATGTGTAACTGAAGACCTATGCCTTTGCAGATGCATTATTTATTCACCTAAAGCAAGGACTGTTCTATATTTAGCATATGATGTCAATGGGTTGTTTGCATCCCTGGAAATTGGCAGGAAGCCACCTCTCACATGATGTATGAAATCACTGATAAATGCTTCTTTTCACTGAAAGAAAAACAGCTTAATAAATGCAGCTCTTTTCTGCTTTCATCTTTCCTCCCCACACCACTCTCCTTCCACGTCTGGGATTTGTCTCTCTGTGGCACTGCTCAGCCCAGCCTGTGAAGTGGAAATGAGTGCTCAGTATCACAGATCAAAATGAGGCTGTTGGTATGCTCAGGAAGTTCTCTCGCCCCCCTCCTACCTAAAACTTGGAGTGCTGCCAAAGATCGAGTGAATCAGACAAAAAGAGACTTGATACAGCAGAGGTTTTGTGGGGACTCGGTATTTCTGGCATGCAGTTAGTATCAGTGTTTTTTTAGCAGACTGGGGTGGGGACGTTGATAATGATGCAGTGCTGTTGTTCGGTGTCAAAATGACACCCTTGCCAATTGAGCACCTTAGAATACATATAGTCTCTCCCTCTCTGTGTACACGCACTTCTCTGGGGCATGTGTCCAACGGAAGGTCTGACCTTAATATACATCAGATTCTTTTCTGAGCTGTGTAACGGAAGGTCTGACAATAAAGCAAGTTGTACAAATAAAGAAAACATTGTGAGGCAGGTCTTCAGCTACTGTCTTTTGGCCCCATGGCAATGAAACGTGCCAGTTTGCACCAGCAGAGGATCTGCCCCCCCCCCCTTTTCTTTTGCAGTTTTCAGCTACGCGATTTGTGTGCGGTTATCCCCTTATTTATCTCGAGTCTATCTGGCAGTGGCAATGCGCATCCTCCTGACCTCGAGGCTCAATTGGTGCAATTCCCTCTACACAGGTTTATCAGGGAGGCTGATCTGCTGCCTGCAGCTTTCTCCGAGCAGCAGTCACCATTGCCAGAAAGGGTTTGAGCTATCCGGATCATACTGAGTAGTGGATTCAGTCTAAATTAGCTGTATTGAATGAGGTAGCTCTGAATGGGGCTGGCCCTGGTTATATTTGAGATCCCCCTCCTCCTTTACCCTAACCTGAGGGGATCGTGAACTCTCAGATCCTGTGGGGTTTGGGGGGTTCCACTATCATGCCTGACGTCCGTAGGTGCTCAAACTGTTGCAGTGGCAGCCCCAACCTGGTGCAACTGGCTGTCTCCTAAAATGTGCAAAAGTGACGAGGAGTCCTGTGGCACCTTATAGACTAACTGAAGTGGACGAAGTGGGTCTTTGCCCACGAAAGCTTATGCTCCTACACTTCAGTTAGTCTATAAGGTGCCACAGGACTCCTCGTCGCTTTTGCAGATTCAGACTAACACGGCTACCGCTCTGATCCTAAAATGTGGTTCATTTAATCTCTCCCCCGCTTAAAAAAAAAAAACCCTTCCAAAAAAGATATTGTTTTCTGAGGTGTTTTGAAATGACTACCACTCAGGCGGCGGCTGTTTTATTCTGTTGCCTTTTATTTATCTACCTTGCCTGTTGAGGTCAGCCTGTTCTTTTATTAATGAATGAGAAATTGGCTTTGTGATTGTTGCTCGGCACTCTGAGTGCTTCGGTGTGTGTCTATTTTACTTTCTAAATAAAACTCCGATTATGATTTCAAATAGATTTACAGGCGTAAGAACAGTTGCCAAGCCCTTTAGCTGGACTCATACCATTAATATCCTGGATCCTAAGCTTTTAAGTCAGAGAGGTGCTGCGGGGTGCTGAAAGCATCCGGACTGCAACAGAAGTTGTGGGTGCTCAGCTCCTCTCTGGATTAGGCTTATAGACACCAGCGATACCTGTGAGGAAGGTTTTTGAATTTTGGGGGAATTGTATTGCTACTTTGGCTGTGACTTGTTCAGACAAAGAGCACGGCATGGCATGGTGCCAGTCCTTCTGCCGGCACAAAGCGAGTATATGGGAAAGGCACCTCAAACTTGAAGGGAAATAGGGTTTGACCCCGCACCCGCCATACACTGGCAATAGGTCAGTGAAGTCAATGGACTGCTTTCCCATGTAAGGAGTGCCCATGCCTGCACAAGTAGCAGGGTCAGACCCAATAGCTTTATTTACACTAGCCAGTTTTCCCTAATATGCAGCCCACCGATAGTAGCGAAGGCGAGAGTGCTAGTGTGGACAGGGCTGAGGTAAGTCCCAGCCTTCCAAATGCTGTATAGCGCAGGCCTGCTTTGAGCAAGGCTAAATAACACAGTGATTAAAGTGCTGGCCGTGGCTTGAGCATTGTCTCTGCACTAGCATTTCCCCTTGTGGTGCTGAGAAATCCTAGGGAGAAAAGGCTAGTGTGGACACAGCCTTCGTGAAGTATTGCTGTGCTGCAGATGAGTTATTTCAGTCTGTCTTTTCAACAAGCCCATTCAAGTTTCTATTCCATTGTCGTGTGCCCCAGGGCTTATACAAGAAAGCGCCAGGATAAAAACCTTCCAAATTTAGTGCCATTGTGAACTACATAGTGCTTCAAAGACAGGAGGAACAAATGGAGTTGATAATATCATGGGGATCGCTTTATGTTCAGAACTGACATCACTGACTCCTGAGCTTGTTCAGACCAGGATTTTTGTTTTGATTTCGGGTGAACAGGGTGACCTGAGCATCAGAGAGACATTTAGGAGAAACTAACAGGAAAAGTAGTGGGCAGATCACTCAAGGATGTTCTTTTAAAAGCATTATTCCGAAGCATCACCACACTAAGAAGGTGTGATGCAAAAAATGTTTACATCAAATGATTCTTGTGTTGGAACAGACAGTTGTTACACCGTAATTAATTAAAGAATAAACTTGACCCACACCCACAAGATTTGTATCTCAGTAACTCCAGATGCCTGCTATTGTGCAAAGATGAGGGAAAGGTTATTGCCACAAATTTATCCAGGTGCATTAGTGCCAGCAAGGCCCTTCAGGAAATTCTAAAATGAATTTGCACACAGCGAGCAAGGTGTCATTTGTTATAGCAATAAATATAGCCCTTGCATAGCTGTTTACTAGTTCAGAGTGCTGTACAGATGCTGATTGTTATTACTGAGAGGAAGGTAGTTAAGTCATTGGACTGAGCCTCGGAAGACATGGCCTCAGACGTCCCTCACCAGGCAACAGATCTCATGTATGAACTTGGGAAAGTCAAATAACTTTTCTGGGCCTCAGCTGTCATGCAGGGGATAATAATACTGCCTTTTCCCCGCTGTCTTATCTATGTAGATTTTCAGCGTTGTGTGACAGGGACTCTCTCTTACTGTGTGTTTGTACAGTGCCTTGCACAAACAGGGCCCTGACCCTGGTTGGGGTTTTTAGCCACTACTATAATACCACTACAACTAATCATTATTGGGCCAAATCCTGCAGCATTGCCTGCCATTATTGTTTAAAGAGCCCAACACCATAGTGTCTGGGCACCAGTTAGTTATGATAATACAATATTTTAACAGATCAGGGAACAAATCCCTGCGATGAGGTGAGAGAAGGGGTTCCCCTTGTCAGGTGAGAGAGGAACAGGGCTTCAGGTTGTTCCCCTGTACTGGCTCTGTAGATTTGACACTAAGGTAGAACTAGTGGCTTCAGCAAGACTTATACTCAGTGAGGCAGCAGCTTGGTCCTGCCTCCTCTCTTCCCCCTCATACATTGCTGGAGCAACTGGCATGGGCAGGGGCTGCATGATGTACAATTCTATGCAATCCTAGTATCTCTGGCAGGGGATGGAAGAGGAATGTTTCTTTTCCAGCAGCTGCCATAGATACACTCGTAGCATGACAGCTGTCTACGGTGAATCCCAGCCAGGCCCGTTATTGCTTCAGGCAGAACTGAAAATGTCAACAATCAGATCCAGTCGCAGCCATTTCTGCGAGAGCGAAAGAGACAACTTTTTGGATGTGTCACCCCATTGCTCCAAATGTAATCGATTCCTGGTTAACATGTTCGTAGCATTTCACACAGTGTCGAGCTAAGCATTTTGGAAGGAGTTAGAGAGATGATTCTCTGGGATGAAATCC